GAAGTTCTTGCCTTCCCTGAGCTTCAGGTGTCTTCTCTGTGAAGTGGGTTTCAAGTTGTGTCCTCCCTGTGCTTAGCTCACCAAATTTTTAGGGAGAGGCCTTGAAGGCCACCAGCACCCTGTGACCCTTGGAGGGATGCTGCCCTTACCTTGAGGCCCCTTGGATGTGGGGGAAGAGCCAGGTGAACTCCCAGGTGTTCCATTTAATCACTGCAGCCCCATCTGTGCCTGGCCTGGTGGTCACAGGCCTGGCCATGGACAAGGACAATAGGCAATGATGGGTGCTCAGAGGACACAGGTTCCCTGGAGGAGGGGACATCTGAGCTGTTTTCCAAGTGAATGAGGGGGAGAAGCATCCCAGGCAGAAGGCAAGCTGGGAAAAAAAGGCAGAGGCCAGAAGGTAGAGGCTGCATCCAAGGAGCTGCAGGCTGGGAGTGTAGTAGAAGCCAGATCACAGGGGCCGCAGAATAAGTGCAAGATAAGGAGTTGAGGTCATCTGAGGCCAGATCTCCTGGGCCTCAGAGGCCCCACCACAAAGTATGGACTATCCACTGGAGTGGGTGGGCATGGTATTAGGAGGGAATTAATTCAAAAGATGTTAAGGAGAAAGAAGCAAGAGGGCTGGGCTGCTGAAGGAAGGTGAGGGCAGGAGAGGGGGATGCCAAGGGCTCACGCATTTACAAGTTCAGTTATTTGCTCATTCGACAAATATTTCTTGAACTCCCACCGTGAGCCAGGGACCGTGATGATAAGGACTTCTGTGGTTCCTACCCCTACACTACTTAGAGACAACACAGTCAGGCAGGCTCAGGCCCATGAGCACACATGGTGTGCACGCTGCTTGCCTGGCCATGGTGAGCAGTATGAAGGGAGTCAATAGGAGGCTGGAACAGAGGGTGTCTGCAAAGAAGGTACTCAGAGGATGCCTGGCTGAGAGGTGACTTTAGGGGGGCAGGGGCCAATTGGTGCCAGCTTTGAGAATTCCAAAGAACCCCAGTCTCTGGCTTAAATGGATGCCTGGGTAGACTGCCACTTTGCAGGTATGGGGACAATCATGAGGACTGGTGAGTCAACCAGAGAGCAGCCAAGGGCTCTGGAACAGGAGAGGGCTCTGGGCACAGAGGGAAGCTTGGGACGGTCAGCAATGAATGGATGGGAGCCCTGAGACTGGATGATATTTTAGGGTAGAGGGAATAAAGAGAAGAACTCAGCCCCTGGAAGTCATGCCCAGGTTTAAGGACTTCAGAGAAAAGGGCACTGACCGGCACAGTGGTTCATGCCTGTAATCGCAGCACTTTGAGAGGCTGAGGCGGGTGGATCACTTGAGGCCAGGAGTTGGTCAGCCTGGTCAACATGGTAAAATATACCATCTGTACCAAAAATATAAAAATTAGCTGGGCCATCTCTAGCAAAAACATAAAAATTAGAAGGTGGAGGTTGCAGTGAGTCGACTAAAATCGCGTCACTGCACTCCAGCCTGGGCAACAGAGGGAGACTCCGTCCCCACCCCCTAAAAAGAAAAACAAAAAAGAAAGAAAGAAAAGGGCACTACAAAGGAAGCCCAAGAGGAGGGGCTGGAGAATGGAGAACTGCAAGGCAGAGGTGGCTCAAGACTGTAATCCCAGCACTTTGGGAGGCTGAGGTGGGAGGATCGCTTGAGCCCAGTTAGAGACCAGTCTGAGCAACATGAAGAAACCCCATCTCTAAAAAACTGACCAAACAGGCCGGGCGCGGTGGCTCATGCCTGTAATCCCAGCACTTTGGGAGGCCGAGGCAGGCGGATCACTAGGTCAGGAGATCAAGACCATCCTGGCTAACATGGTGAAACCCCGTCTCTACTAAAAATACAAAAAAATTAGCTGGGTGTGGTGCGGATGCCTGTAGTCCCAGCTACTCAGGAGGTTGAGGCAGGAGAATGGCATGAACCTGGGAGGTGGAGCTTGCAGTGAGCCACTGCACTACAGCCTAGGCAACAGCGAGACTCCATCTCAGGAAAAAAAAAAAACACAAACCACCAAACAAAACCAACCAAACAAAACACACAAAGAAACAGCCCTCAGGACACTGGTAGCGGCGGGGTACAGATATTTAGGAACCTCTTACTGTCCCTGAAACCATTCCTGGGTAGGTCTGACATATATGAGGGGCTGTGGGAGTGCAAGGCCTGGAGAAGCCTCAGGGGTGTCCAGGTTGGAAAGGGCCAGGGGTGTCTGATTGATGGGAGGGGTGGGGAAGTGGAATTGGCCCTTTGACCCCAACATGGGGTCGACTCTCAGCCCCACCTTTACCCACTGTGTGGAGGGCTAGCATTCCAGCCCTGGCTTTGGAAAGGACTGGGTTGGCCAACACATGGCCCTGTACCTGGACCCTGCCAGCGTCCCCACCCCAAGACTGCCTGGAAACCAGTACCCAATAAGTGGGGAATGCATGACCCGGCTATGAGCCTGGACTTACCAGCCAGACAGTGGCAGAAAGGGCGGCCTGCCTCTACAGTGGAGAGGCTGAAGCTGGCTGAAATGGCAGGGCTGAAGGGCAGCGTCTGGACCCAGAAGGTGTCAGGAGGCTTCTGGACTCCCCAAGGCCTTCACCAAAACAGTCCTGGATCCTTTCCATCAACCAACCTAAGCCAGCAGCAGCAGCTCCAGGACCTGTTTCAGGTGGCCACAGACAGGGGGCCGGCAAGGTCTCCAGAGCCCGAGGGATCTGGGGAGGGGACAAGCAGGCGGGGCTCCCTGGCGCTTCCCGTTTTAGGGTCTGCGTGAGGTTCCCAGAAAGCCGCCCTCACGTCCCCAGGGTCTGCCCTCCCTGCAAGCTGGTGGGCTGCATGGGCCACCGGCCTGCCCCGTTACCCGAGAGGGCGGAGCGAGCTCTGGGCGTCTCCAGGGGTGCGGGAGCCGCGGGAGCGCAGGGGGGTGGGGCC